TTCATTGCCTGTAGTCTGACTCTAGGGCATTGAACACAATAGCTAGACTCCAATCTACATCAAATACTGAATCCAGCTAGTTGTCTCACATGGCCAAAAATCCAGGAAAGTCTGCAAGGTTAAGGAAGATGGCATTTGTAAGTGCTCTCCATGTAAGCAGACAACGGGGTTAAAAGCAACCTGTTCAAATTTGCTGATACCAAAATTTGGGGTGAGGCGGGCATGCTAGCAGGGAGGGAAAGACTGCAGAAAGACCTGGATAGGTTGCAGGGGTGGGCTAACAAAAACAGGATGCGTTTCAATACTGACAAGTGCAGGGTGCTGCACTTGGGCAGTAGTAACCAGCAGCACACTTATAAGATGGGAAACTCCCTTCATGACAACACGGAGGCAGAAAGGGATCTTGGAGTCGTCATTGACTCCAAGATGAACATGGGCTGATAATGCGAGGTCACGGTCGGCAGAGCTAACCGGACCTTATTGTGCATCCACAGGTGCGTCTCAAGTAGGTCCAAGGAGGTGATCCTCCCCCTCTACGCGACACTGCTCAGGCCACAGCTGGAGTACTGTGTCCAGTTCTGAGCACCCCACTTCAAGAGGGATGTGGACAACATTGAGAGGGTCCAGAGGAGGGCCACCTGCATGATCCAGGGACAGCAGGGCAGACCCTACAATGAGAGGCTACGGGACCTGAACCTGTTCAGCCTTCACAAGAGAAGGCTGAAGGGGGACCTGGTGACCATCTATAAACTCACTAGGGGGGACCAGAAGGGCTTGGGGGAGACCTTGTTTCCCCTAGCGCCCCCCGGGATAACAAGGAATAACAGCCACAAGTTGTTGGAGAGTAGGTTTAGATTAGACATCTGTAGGAACGACTTCACAGTCAGGGCGGCTAGGATCTGGAACCAACTTCCAAGGGAAGTAGTGCTGGCTCCTACCCTGGGGGGCTTTAAGAAGCGGCTTGATGCCTACCTGGCTGGGGTCACTTGAGCCCAGTTTTCTTCCTGCCCAGGCAGGGGGTTGGTCTTAAAGATCTACAAGGTCCCTTCCGACCCTACTTCTATGATAAATCAATGTGCAGAGATCTCACTACTGGGGGAATATTCAGGCAATAAAATGTCAGCAGATGTCCCAAGTCCCAGAGAGAAATCAGATGCCTCAATATAAGGCATATCCAGGAGGTAGATTACAGGACTGGAGGTTTGGATATGTAGGCTTTAAGACTACCCTCAGACTTGCTGTAGGGCACTGGACAAAAGTCCCCAATCCCTTGGTGCCTCAGGTTATCTGTAAAACGGGAACTGTATTTTCCTACCTCCCAGCAGGGTGTTAGGCTTAATTCATGAAAGTTCCCAGACTGGAAGACTTCCAGGAAGAAGGCTGTACATAGAAAGTTAGGGCTGAAAGAGACCTCAGGAAGTCATCTAGTTCAACCCCCTGCTCAAAGCAAGACCATACCCAAGTAGATCACCCAGCCAAAGATTTGTCTAACTGGGTTTTGAAAACCTCTAAGGATAGAGCTTCCACCACCTCTCTGAGTAACCTGTTTCAGTGCTTTACTATCCTCCTAGTGAGAAAATTCTTTCTAATATCTAATCTAAACTTCCCTTGCTGCAAGTTGAGACCGTTGCTCCTTGTTCTGTCATCTGCCACCACTGAGAACAGTCCAGCTCTGTATTCTTTGCAACCGTCCTTCAGGTAATTGAAGACTACTAATAAGTCCCCTCTCAGTCTCCTCTTCTCTAGACTAAATAAGCCCAGTTCCCTCAGTCTTTCCTCATAAGTCATGTTCCCTAGCCTCCTCACTATTTTTGTTACCTTCTGCTGGACTCTCTCCGATTTGTCCACATCCTTTCTGTACTGGGGAGTGGGCAAAACTGAACATATTACCCTGGATGTGGCCTCACCAGTGCTGAATAGAGGGGAATAATCACTTCCCTTCACCTACTGACAACACACCTACAAGGTGTTACTATTAAGGAGCACAGTGAGAATGCTGCAACGTACAGTGCTGTGCAAGAAATAAAATATATTCAAACTAAGGCCTCAGCCTGGACAACTTAGCGTGAAGGCAAACATGAGGACAGTACAATTTTGCTAGTTGCTTTTTACCATATTGTTGGCTCCCCCTCCTGATTCCCCTATTTGTCCATTCAATTCACTCACTGTATCCCATCCATGTAGACTCTGGGTGCCAAACTTATCTGGCCCCATGGGGCTAGGGCCAGCGTGCGGGGTTGGTCCAGTGACCCACAGACCATATCATACAGCTCCACAGGCTGGATCTAGCCCGTGGGTCATATGTTTAACACCCCAGATGTAGACTGTAAGCTCTATAGGGTAGGGACTCTGTTGTTCCACGTCTGCCCAGTGTTTAGCAATTGTGGCCTCCTAGGAACTAAAGCAAAACAAGTAAATGGATTGTTACGATTATGAAACATCATTAGTATACAGTGGAAACAAGCCCACAAAACTCTTTCTGGAGTCAATAAGATCTTTCAACCAAGAACGGGAAAAAACTGGTGATGACGGATTATAAAGTATTCCAACAGTCACCACCCAACAGATCATTCCCTTCATTGTTTCTCATTTAATTAAAGAGCCTTAACCCTGACTAGGGGACAAGCCCACTTTCCAGGGCTCCTTGTGCTTGTCCATTCTGCTGAGACCTACAGGAGCGGTGTAAAATGACAGCATCTCCCTATGCAGCCTCATTCCTGTTTCCTCTGAATTCCTATTGTGCTGAGAACGTCCTTACCATTCCCTGTTATTTTATGACTGGTAACAACTGGATGGACTCTGGTCCTGGATCATGCCACATGCTGCACCTCCACAGCTGTGGGCAGTTTATTTACATCCCCAACTGTCTCCACCTAGATAAACTCAGGATCTGTCACTTTAAAATAAGCAACATATAAAATGAAAAGCAAATAAGCCATCAGACTCCAGGGTATGCAACAATTTCTAAGCAGCTAATACTAAAGAGGCCTGAAGAGTTACTCTCTGCTGATATAGCTCATGCCTGGAACCCACCAATATATTTTTAAAGACTAAAACACATTAAGCAGATATAAAAACAATCCTATAGAATGACGGGTTTAAAACAATTTTCAGCATTTCATCAGTCAGCCTAAGAGAATCCTCCCCATCTGCCCAAAAGCAATAAAGCAAGTAAATTACATGGCTGTCTCTTTCC